ATAAAAAAAATGGTGGAAATAAATAGGAAATAAGTCTTAAAAATAAGAGTTATCACACCTCCAAACTTAAGATATTACTTGTCCTCAAGGAATCAAAATAAACGGAATATGAACAAAGAGGAACAAGAAATCATAACTTACAGAGGGGCGTTGAAGTCTCGTCGGCTTAAATGTTGTGCAACTTCCCTTCTTTGATCTTCGAGGTGCAAAAATTAATCGGTGGGACTTTTATCGGGTTAGTGTTTTTGGCTAAAAAATTCCCCCAAACTTGTCTTAGAATGACAACAATTGCTTTGAATGATTTTGACTTTTCGCATCTTTTTGTTGTGTTTTTTACACTTTCAAGAAACCCAAGAAGTGATATTCACTTTTTGTCTTTGGGTTAAAGTATTTTGCTTTATTTTTTCTATTTTTTTGTATCTTCCAATTTTCTGAAGACATTTGGTACTTTAAGAATTTTTTCTCAACACTTTGGCATACAACCTCCCCCAAACGTAAACCGAACAATGTATGCATTGGAGTAATAGGTTTAAAGTATTTGGTTTGGTAACAATGGATAGTGGTTGGGCCAAAAATGAAATATGGCCCACGTCTTTTTTATTTTTGCAACCCAAAGATTTCGGCAAGGAAATCACATCTGAAAATGAAGAATAAGCCAACGATATACCAATAAATTATCAACGCCCAATAAGAAACAAAAGTAAGTTAGAGTAGCAATTTATCAAAAGACATAAGCAAATATCAACGACCGCCATATATGAACACAAAAGAGGCGGTCGGATAAAATATTAAACACCCAATCCAAAAAAATATTGTTTTTGAGTTTCAAAAGTCATAACGAAACACCTAGGAAGATGATCAATCCAATTTACCCGTGTCGTCCCGACTAGCGGATGCCTCACTCATGGCATCCGGTGTGGTGGTCCGTCTGATCATCCGTAGTCTGACTTGGGGATGGCAAAGGCCTCTGGGAAAGCGCGAGATCTCCGAAGATAGCATTATATTCTTGTGCGATAGAAACTTGTTCACGACCCGGTTCCTATCTCGCGTATACATCCCAAACTTCTCAACACGCCGTGAGTTCGGCAACTCGATCTTCCACTTGTGTGATTCTCTAGGTAATCTTGGATAAAGCATCAATCATCGTCCCCATCTTCTAGTTACATTCCTCCCATTGGCTAGCCATAAGTGACAACCACACCTCCGAATCATACCCCATGGTTGTAGGTGGTGTCGGCGGGATGTCGATATGGTCGGAGGGGCAGTTGCGGCTGGTTTGGAGGCTGGAACAGCAGGATCCTCGGCCCTTCGTGGGTTGTTGGCAGTAGGTCTAAGTGAGACTTGTGGTCCGGTAGCATCATCGGCTAAGTCGGAATTTTCTTGGTCCGGCTTGTGCATGCGGTTAATCGTTCCTTAGTCAAGCAAGGAATGGTTAAATGTGATGATATCATGCTCTGATACGGGTACCCTCGCGGCTGTCAAAAGCTTCGTGATCGAACCTGGAAAAATTAAACGAGAATCGAGTGAGAATGGCGTGACCTTCCTCATAAGTGAGAATGGGGGTTTCGAACAAGTTGCTTGGGATGAGCCATGGAAACAGTCGATCGGTTTCTTGAAAGGAATGAGGGAGATGAAAAAGTGGTTAATGAGGGAAAAGTGAGGGAGAAGTGGGTTAGTGGGTATTCTGTTTTTCAAATATTTGGAAATGTAATTGTAAAAGGTAAATGTAAAAGGTGATTAGAAATGATATGATGACACTCCATTTTTTGGTTTATTTAAAACCAATTGTGACTCAATGGTGACTTTATGGGAATCATGTCACCATTGTTGATATAAGTACTTGTATGATGATGCAAGTCTCCCAACCAATTTAAAAAATAAAGATTATTTTTGAAAAAAGCACTCAAAATTTTATTTTCAAGAGTTTTTCATAAAAATGATTATTTTAATGAGAAAATTATTTTCTTTTCGTCGCTTTTGAAAAAAATTTGAAAATTTCTTTTTTTTATCACCCTCTGTTGGGTCTGAAAAACTCATCGTTCCCTCGAGCCGGTCAAATCCGCGATTCTTAAACCCAACGCTCCTGTAGCAATGCAG